CTTGTCTCCCTTCTTGTTGGTCATTGTGTCCGTCTTGTCTCCCTTCTGTTTTCTTTTGTATTCCTTCTTGTCTCCCTTCTTGTCTCCCTTCTTGTTGATGTCTCAAAAAGTGGACTTGGGAATGCTTCGTTGTTGTCCCGCCTGTTTGGGGTCTACGGTGGTGTAATTTTTTCCGAAGCTTTTGTTCATACTGCTGCTTCGCTGCCCTTTACTCCGGCAAGAAACTCGTTCCGAACACCCCCGATGTGTTGACTTTCGCAAGAGCTTCGCTCCAGCTTCGCTCTCGCTCCCCTCGCGCCAGCTCGATGCCGCGCAAATGCTGCACTTACGCCGAAAGCCTTTGGAAGGAGCTGGTTCGTTCGGGAGAGCTGTGCGTCATCCATCCGTCGCCGAAAGATCGCACCGCACCGAAACACGCCCCAAAGAACCGACACCAAACGATCCATTTTTTCCGAGGAACGAGAAGGAGTTCATGCTTTACACCTCTGCGGGTCGCGTAGGCTCCACCTTCGTCTCCGGCGGCCCGCTGGTCGAGGCCGTGAAGGAGTGGGACATCCGCAGGAGAGCGAGCTCGGCGGCGATGGGTGCGGGACAGCGTGTGGGACAGCGGTGGGGCGGCGGTTCTTCGGTTTGGCGGTTTTGGCGTTTTTTTTTTGGATTTTTTCGTTCAAACGCCGGTTTGAAGGTGGAGGGTTTTCAGATTGTCCCTGAAGTGGAGAGAGAAAAGCCAGAACCTGATCAAGTAGAACCTGATGGTGGGTCTTCTTACCAGTGGGGATTTTCTCTTGTTGGGGTGGGATGGACCGAACGAACCGACCGTCGCGCCACCCAGGAGTGAGGCATCGGATCCGCCCTACCGGAGGCCGATCCGGTCGCGGGCTGTTCGGGCTGTTCGGTCAACGGGTGAGGGACCCGGATCCGACGCCAAGACCAGGAAGGTTGGATAACACTTCTTTGGTAATTCAAGGGAAACGTCTTTTTCAGGGTGTGTGATGATCTACCTGGCTCCTGGCAGTCTTTTCTTTTTGGGTAGATTCTCTTCATTCGAACTAGAACCCTTTAGCTACAGTAACAACCATGGTTTTACTGAGGATTTCGGACTACAAACCTCAGGTGAACATTTCTTTCAACGGTATTTGAAGGCGGGCAAAAGCCATGGTACCCCCCCCAAAAACCTACCCTTTTCATACCTTTACTGGTATTTACAGTATTTTATGTATATTTTTCAGTATTATTCCTAAGCTTAAAGGGGAGGGCCCCTTGAAGAAAACCCCGAAAACAAAAACACACACACACACACAAACACAAATAAACAAACAAAATAATTGTGTCTTGCACGACCATGTCCGACACTGCAAAAAGCGTGTCAAAGCGAAGGGAAAGTGGGTGTGGAGATTGCCCACCTATGTCCGCATGACTCATTGCCAACAGCCTGAAACATACCTGTTTGCAGTTCTTCTGCATACCACAAATGTATGAATATGGATGATGTTGTTTGCGTGTGTCTGCCTCACACATAAAACCAAAGGCTTGAAGGTAAAAAAACAGTAGGTTTTAGGGGGGGCTAGCATATAAATCAATGGTGTTTGGGAATCCTAGTTTTAGTACTGGACCTGACTGGACCGGAACATCCCGGTCTGTCCACTCCGAGCGCCAGCGCTCCATCCGGTGGGTTCTTCCCGAGGCAGATTCTCAACTATGTGGCCAAGGTCAATGAGCTCGACGGCGACTTGGATCGAGATGTCTGCAGCCTGTGGGGGTGCTTGATGGAATCACACACCCAAGTGGTTCAAGCACGGCAGTCACCCAGCCAAATCGAGGCTTGAAGAAGACGAAAGGAGGAGTTTCTGCGCAGAACGCTGGGACGACGTAAGGTACAGGTGGATGTTGTCGGAAGGAAAGACTAGTGGCTAGAATTATCTAGAATCCAAGCGGCATCCTGTCCCGGCAACTATTGATTTCAAACCAATAGAAAGGCCATAAAGACCAAGTAAGTTGGTTCTCAATCGAAGGCTGATACTGATCACGTTTACTCAGCATGTATTTGCATGACAGCAAGGCATTGAGGACTTGCTTGCTACAGCCAAGAGGCTACTTCACGCCTTAGTCACAGGGTACTTTCCAAACACCCACTGGAACAAGGACAAATCGATTCACTGCGGATTTTTGGTTCCAAGAAACAACGCGACCAAACACCTCGCCCGCCCTGGTTGGATGTTCGTGATCCGTCCGTTTTCCTCTTTACTTTCGAGGAGAGATCGCGCTGGATAAGATGGGCCGGCCACACTTGGAGGCTGACCGATTCAGAAACGAACAGCACACTTCCGTATTTTTTTCTTCCTATTTTCTCATTCCTGTACTGTCCGCAGGATGACCGCTTGGACACCTCTGGGGGCATGACGCGGCTCAATGGTGAGCCGGAGTTCCTGCACGAAGCCAAGCTCTTCCAAAAGCACGCCAAGAGGCGTCGGGGACGGTCTCGCTCGAGCGAGACCGCCGGTGGAGCTGCTGAGTGCAGCTGTCACCGTGGAGCTGCTGAGCTGTTACTCTGAGAGTCCAGTGAGTCATGACTCATTTTCACCCGAACTGGCACTATGGTAGTGGTGGATGGATTGACTACCAGGTGGAGCAGTTCATGAGTCAAAACGGAAGTTCTGGGTGTAACACCCCTTTTGGCAAGCGGAATCTATACGATGCGCCTGGTGCATCGTTGTACAGCATCTTTTCACCGTTCACCTGCTGTTGGTGACTTTGGTCCGTCAGACAGACCCTTGGACGTACCGGACACCAGGTGACCATGTGCCGAGTCTACACTCCGATGAACACATCACATGGAAGTGGAGTGAAAAACCCCCAGTTCGTAATGGAAAGTGACCATTTTCCAAGGGACCATGCCATCCGCGTAACCATGATGCTTTAGCTCTCTTCCTGTTTCCATTCTGAAGAAAAACCACAAGGGGAGTTGACCCATCGATTTCTTCCAATCCGAGTCGTCTAGGTTCTCGGCTCCGAGAAACCTCCGGGGCCAGGTTCGAGCAGTTGAACATGATGGTTCGCCTGCGCGTGATGGCCAATCTGGGCTTGCCCCGCAAGGCGGGTCGACCAGTGCGGACGGTTTGAGGTGGTGGTGACGTCGACGAAAAGCGGTGTCTTTTTTGGATCCCCACAGAAAAGGTAGGGGACCCCCTTCTCTTTGAAGGTGTAAAAGAGGGTGGTGTAAACCATTCCTTGCGGGTCCAGGTTCTCTTCCAGGTCTTTTCTAGGTGTTTTTTATCCGATCGAGAAGGACACATTGACTTGACCCACCAAAGCCATGCGGACACCTGACCCCGTTCGCACTCAGACTGCTCACCGTTCGCCAGGCGGTCCTCCGCGCGTGCGCGTGCGTCACTGTGCAGGTGAAGGGCTGTCGGGAGGCGGACCCAGCGCTACGGGGCCTGTCGCTGAATCAACTGCGTGTGGTCTCAGCCAAGCTGGAAGCCAGCTGCCCATGGAGGAGGGGAAGACGCACGAGTTCCATACCGCGGGAGGGGTTCACTGCCTGGTTGAAGGGTGGTGGTCAGGGTCGCAGCCTTTTTTGGGGACATTGAAGAGGTCGGGGTGTGGCCTCAAACACCTTGTGATGGTGGATGAAGGATGAATCCCAGGTTTGGGTATCTTTCCGCTTCCTTTGCGGGCCTGTAGATCCTTGTAGTTAGGTTTGAGGGGGCCTTAGGAAAATGGCAGGTGTCCAACATGTTTTCTTGCGGCGATAGGAGCAGCAGGACAATAGGACAGGAGCCTGAATCAGTGAACCAGCACAGACGGATTTTGTTTGACTTGAGTCCTTGGGACGACGGCTCGTGGCTCCAGGGACGACGATGAGGATTGCCCGTGGCTTGATGATGAGCTTGGCGAGGATGTGGAGCTGGAGTATAACAGGCTTACCACCAACCAGGTGTGGAAAGACAGCCCTCACATTTGTATCGTGTTTGGGTCCATATCTCTATTGGGGTAAATTGTTCACTCATTCCTTCCAAATCGCACCAGCCAGAGAAGAGAGATTGAGCATGCAAATGATTGCTGACTAGACCACAGGACTGTAGTAGGCAGGCGCTTGTTCTTGCGGAAAGTGGACCAGCTCTGTCTTTGTTTCAACCGAAGTGAACCAGCCTTTCAGGTTTCCCTCTGGGTCCAGTGGAGAACAATGGAGGAGAGGAGCTAGTCTTGAGGGAAGCTGAACCATGCGCCAGGCAGCTGTGTTGTTTCTTCGGGGTGTACGTTTGATGCATTTCTCTTCAGAGGTATGAGTTCCTGCTTCTTAAACATAGAGTGCTCTTTGGAGAACCAGATGCCGAGAAGCGAAGGTTGGGAATTGTGGAATGTTCCTCACAAACGAAACTTATGTTGAAAGGATTACATCAAAAACACATCTAAGAAGGACGTCTCAGAGGAAAAACATGACTGACTTCCTCCAACCACCGGGACACCAACCGAGCCAAGCGGCTGGCGCCAGCAGCGGGTTGCTATTCCCCTGCAGGAGAGCTGCTCTTACATGGAGTTAGTCTCTGACGATCCGCAGAAGCCCCAGTACGCCTTGAATCTGTCGGAGACCCAGAACTGGTCCGAGCGCATGATGGCGATCGAGCTGTTCGCGGAGGTGCGGTCATCTGCTGCGCCATGCAGTCAGGGAAGCTTTCCTAGGAGCCGGGGGTTTTCCAGATTCTCCATTATACAAGGAGCCACAGGGAGTCTCCTAAACACTTGCTAGTTTCTGCTTTCTTTTTTTGTCTATCGGTGTGAAGGACCGGCACAGTGTGTCGATTGAGTGCGAAGCTCACAGCAAGGATTCCAGGATCGTCATTGGTTGGCGGGCAAGAAGCTTCAGAGTGAGTCACCATCCACGTCACCATGTCCCGCTGACGGACCCAACTCACCTCGACCGACCGCCCCCCAAGCGTCGTGGGCGACGCAGAGAGGCGCAACAGCTGCCAGACTCAGCCGTCTTCTTCGTGGACATCCTCAGCATGAACATGAACGACCGAGAGGTAGGTGTCCATACCTTTTCTTTGTTTGGCCTCCAGACGCCCTGTCTGGGGGGTGGGGAAGGTCTTTGATTCTTCTTGATTTGGGTGCCAGAAGAGACGTACTCGTTGGCTCGGCTCCGGGGTCGGTTGGCGACCGGCCGACCGGCGAAACCGGCTTTTTGCCGCCTCCTTGGGGTTCTTTCGATCAGAATGCCGGCGGATCACTAAGGAACCAGCTTTTTCAGTGGCTTTTTTCCATCGTCTGTGATGCAACGGGGAGACCCCGTTTTCCTTCTGTTTGTTGATGACAAAGGGATGAGGTGAAGGGTCAAAACACAGTTCTGCTCCCATTCCTCAAAACAGGTGGCTGGAAGAAGCAATTCACCTGCGAGATAGGAAGCCCCACGACAGCACCGAGCCAAAACGCTCAGCGGTTTTGGCTCCGGCCACCAGGTCCGGTTCATGGCCACATGGTCAGGACGCTGAGGAGGTCTTTCGGTCGGTGAAGAACGAGTGCGAGGGGCTCATCTACTTGTTGTCCAATGAGGCGCCGAACGGGGGCACGGACGTGGGACCGTACGTGGAGGAGGGTCGGTCTCGCGGAGGGCCCGAAAGGTGCCTCTTTGTTGGTTCGGAGATAAGGGATCAAGAGACACACTTAGATGCTAATACACGGGTTGAAAAATCAAAGTTTCCTGTCCTGCCATCCACCACCAGGTGTTGCTGGGATATCCATGGTACACATACATGGTCTTTCCCTAGCAGCGCGCTCGCTGCGAGGGCTTTCTTTTCTTCGTCCAACGAGCATAGATCAAGTATTTTCGAGCGACGCATCTGGTGAATCGTTCAAAGTAGCCAAGCGCAGCGTAGCCTATGTGACCAAGCCTAGTAATCGCCTTGCTTTCGGTCGCCCGAACCCCGATCGCCATAGGAAGATCGGGACGAAGATGAAGTGTTGGACACCTTGGGGCCAATGATCATGGAGATTGGCACCAACAAAGGCATTTTCTTTGCCTCACGCCATGGCGTCTTGGCCTGTAGCCAAGCCTTTCGCAGTGGCACCTGGGTCCACGGCGACTTCGATGTGCAGGCGGGGGAGAGACGGAGAGTGTGACAATGTGTGACATGTGACGCTTGGCAGTGCCGCGCCTGGCAGCAGTGCCGCGCCTGGCAGCAGTGCCATGCAGCAAAACTTGTACCTGGAATGAGAGAAATTCCTCAATATGTTTTTTCTCACGTGAGAAAACAGACATCATTACGCATTCAAGCTCCACCGTGTGTCTGGGTGTGTTCCACCCGCTTTCTTGCTGCCGAGCCGAAATTTCGGCTTGCTCCCGAAGTGGTGGGGACCTCCGCTGAAAGGTTATCATGGTTTCGCTGATGGTCATCCCCTATGGCCAATGAAAGAGTATTTTGGGAGCACCATCCACGATCCTCCCCCAAGAAAAGAAAGAATCCATTTCCGGACTGGACATCGCGATGGCCTCCATCGTCGTGGGGGTCAAGGCCTTTCCCAGTACTAAACATCTGTCTATGCCCACGCATGCCACTGAGCGTCACTTTCAGACTACCTCTGGTGGCATGACGCGTGCACCTTAAGGACACACTGCACCTTAAGGACGCACCCAGAAAACTCCTTGTTCCCTTGTTCCTGTCCTTCTGTCCTTCTGCCGCGCAAGGTCATCTACCGGCTCTTGGCCTTGGTGTTGAAGAACGACGACGCCGAGAACGACGCCGCCGAGGTCGACAACGAGAACTTCCGCGCGGTGCTGCGGCTCCACAGCTGGCTGGCAGGGCCAGTGCTCCGGCGCGCGGCGCGGAAGGCCGAGTGCTGACGCCGGGTGACATGACGCCGGGTGCTGAAAAAATGCTCTCCCAACCCGGCCTGCGAAGCATTGTTTTCCTTATAAGATGATTGTGTGTTGAACTTGTAGACTCTAGGAGGGAGACAGCTGTTTGTTTTAGGCTTGGGGATGACCTTGATTCTAAGGGGCCATTCTTCGGCATACTTAGGAGACTCAAGACCGAGTAGACTCTTTCGTTGTCTCTGCACGTTGGCTCTTTCGTTGAGGACGACGCGGAGAGCGTCAAGAGGATTTGCAGTTTGCCAGGCGTGTGGTCGGGGCGAACCACGGGGTTCTGAAGGGCTGAAGGAGGCCACAGGCCATAGGAGAAGGAACATGGAAGGTTGATGGATGCAAGGTTTGATGTTCGGGGCACCGAACGCTCTTCAACTCATCTTCTCATACCGATGATTCGAGCTGAGTGTGTTTCCGCAAAGTCACTCAGTAGCCGCCTTTCTTCCTGTGAACATCGCAAACCACCAATCCGCAATCAAAGGTGAGGGTCAAGACATGTCAAGACCCTTCTGCTTGGAGGGAACCCACCCTTGTTGTGCCGATGAACGGGGGGAAGTTGATCACATCAAAAGTGTGCTCCGGCAGACTCCGTGACTCCCCCTTCCGCAGCTTTTGTGACCTTCTCTGGACGCAGCAGATGATCTTTTTCCACCACGGACCACGCAAACCATGTGCAAACCAGTCATGGATTATAATATTACTAACAGTCATGCATTTTGTAATACATCATCAACATTGAACGAGACTTTGTCTGTATGTGACACGTGGTATATCAATATGAATGGCACATATTACATTGATGATGAATTGGTGACTCACCAGTGCTCCGTTTTTGGTGCTTTTCTTCTCCCGTCTCTTCGACCGAGGCCTGCGCTTGTCCAGTGACACCATGAAGGACCACCTGGGCAGGACCGTTTCACGGTGACGGTGCGCTGGACCGGGTTGGGGAGAGGAGCGTCTCCGCATGAGACGGCGCGTAGGGCGAGTTGGGCGGGGGGCGAGTTGGGCGGGGCATAGGCTGCTCTGGTGAGGAAAAGGATGGAACACGTAGATTTATCGTGGCAGAAGGTGAATTCATGGGCATTTTTGGGTGAGTCTCAAACGATTTCCAAGTGGTGGGATGTGGGTGAGTCTTGGAAAGGCCAAAAATGCCATGGCTCTTCTATCCACTTGGTGTGACTACATACTGTACATAAGAAAGTGTCGGATTTGAGATGCAAGCAAGATGTTGAAAGATATCTACTGTTAGGTGCCAGACTTGAGGAGGATACACAGGGGTTGTAGCTAATGTGACAAAGCAAAAAGGCACCCACCTGCTAATGCAGCTTGGTGTCCGGTCTACGTTATTGCTCTTCGCGGATGTCCAAGAAGCGACTGCAAGACTCCACTCACTTGCCATGCTCCTGGATTGGCCGGGCATTGCTACCAGCCTCGCCAGCGGGTTGCGTCCAATGTGATCAGCCCAGCACATCAGAGTTTCCTCTTCGATCATGTGACAGGGGCCCTGAAAATGGAGCAACATCCCTAGCAAACGGGACATGACCTACTCGTGTATCTCTACAGAACCTTTGTGTGACTCCTTAAAGCATGTCACAAAACCTTTGGTGGGGTAACTCTTGCATCCTGCATCTCTTCCTATCAGACTGCTTTTCGCGGCGCTCCATCCGATCTGCGTTTCGCAGCGCTCTCTCCAGGATGCCGTTGCATATCGCAGTGGCCTGTAAGTCCGTCAGTGCGCTGAAGGCGCTTTTGGAGGCGAAGATGGATCCCAACGTGGAGGATGACATGAAGGAGACACCACGGCACCAGACCAAACGCGGACCGCACGCGGACCGCACGCTAGCTGGGTCCCCTGGGGTGACGTGGACCGTTTGGACTTCTCTTCAGAAGCGTTTGTGATCGCATGATCTTTTGGGCTGGCATTCAGCATGTTGATGAAGTTGAACTTGTAGGATTTCAGGATGGCATTCAGCATTCCACGATGGGTTGCGGAACTCTTTTCCTCAAGGATGTCACGGCCAGCACGATGTGGAACCTTTGAATCAACAGCATGGAAACCACACCAAGCGCCTTCTCGAAATCCACCGAATCTACACCATCACTGGACTTCGTCTTCATTCCGCGGCCACTGGACGCGGGCGACGGCCCTGAAAAAACAGACATCAGACCCGCGGCACCGTCGTTCACCGTCGTTCACCGTCGTGCAGACGAGGCTCACCAGAGTTCCTCGTCTCGCGCACCGTCGTTTAGGACCGACCCTTGCATTATGCGGCCATGGCCGGACAAGAGGATTTGGCGCAGATCCTGGTGGCTGCCGGAGCGGATCCCTGGGGGGAGAACTGCTACACGGAGACCGCCCTGCAGGTGGGGAACGGGTAGAACCGGCGGACCGAAGCAAGTCGCGGTGTCCCCCCCGGAGAACGAGGGGTGAAAAGATGGAGTTTCTACCTTGGAAGGCTGCGATTTCAGGCCGGAACAGAGCAACAGACTGCTTGAGATTGCTCATTTTTGCACTGTATCACTACACTAAAGTGAGTTAAGGGCTTGGAATTGACGTCATGGGAAGCCCGTGTCCCATTCCTCTCTCTGGTTGGGTGAGGTGGAAAGAAACTCATGGTTCGTTAGAAAAAATGTGTCGCACATTCCTTCGAAGACCTGAGAATCCACATTGCAACCCCTGGTTCGGTGACGACTTTTCAACCGAAAAACATATCATGGCACGACGGGCCTGCTTTGCGCGGGCTCTGCGCGGCACGAAACTCGGCTTGAAAAGGGGAGCGTGTAGACCCAGGTGATTCCGAAGCGTCCGCGTCGTCCAGGTGGCGCGGCAAAGCCCCGCGGCCTTCCTGGGAGTCGACACCACGAAGGCGCGTCGCGGTGCGGCGTTCGACTCGACGTCGACGGTCGTGCGAACAGCGACGTGGCGAACGCGTCGCGTGGCGAAGTCTGCGACGTGGCGAAGGCCTCGTATCGCCACACGCGCGCCAGCGCGCGGAACCGCAGAACCGCCGAACGCGGATGAGGTGGTGAAGTTTCTCAGCAAGAAGACGCAAGCGATTCCCTGGAAGGATGTCATGAAGACCTTCCATTCCTTCATTCGAAGGCGGGCCGGAAAGGTTTGCAGAGCTCGGGGCCTTTTCTTTTTTGGTTCGGAGGTGCTTTGGTGCTCCGGACAGCAGCCACTTAGTGTTTTCTGCACATTTTCGGAGGTGACACGGGGAAACCGTTGAAAACAACACTAATTTAATTTCATCTAATTTCTGAGTACTCCTTCGGGGGTATCTGGCAGTGGGTTTTCTCTCAAAAAGGGAAGGTGGGTTCCTCAAGGTCTGCGGGATGGAAAAAAGAAACGGTTCCTTTTGCCATCAACTTCTAACGGTTTCTTTTGAGGCAAAGCCGAGTCAAGACATGCTGACCCGACTCACCCAATCTCGGCTGAAAGGCCCTCGGCAGTTGGGTCAGCTATGTCAGCGGCACGAGAGCTGAGCAAAGTGGCTGCGTGAGACTGGAGTGGTTTTTGGCGTCGCCCATGGCGTCGCCGTTGTGGAGGATCAGACGCAGCTGCAGATGTGGTGTCCAACGCCGATGCCAGTATTTAAGTTTCCACTTTGGTTGAAGATTACCCAACAAGCGGACCGTGAATTGCGTAACAATGTGCAAGGTCAATGAACTTTGCTCAGCTGTTTTTGTGTTACACCTGCGGCTATGGCCTCCCTTCCAGCTCTGGTTTAGTTTGTTTAATGTACTCTCATTTGGAGCGAATATTCATTTCTCAATATATGCAAATAACAAAAGAAGAGATCGCTTCAGATGACATCCTTTTGAAATCCTCAAAGAGGAACATTACGTAATTCCAAAAAAAGAAAGGACAACAACAGGATTCCTTAAAACTCAGAAATCTACCCTAACTCCTGACTCCTGACACTGGAAATGCCGGACTGCTAGCAGCGGTTTCAAGGTGAACGATTTTGTATTAAGTGGTCTTGATGCTATAATTGCACCCTATGCACCAGACCAACCTGCGCAAGGTGACGTGCCTCACACGTCCCCATAAACAATGGCAATCAATATTTTCACAATTTTTTTTGATAATAATTTACTATATTTTATTAATATTAATATGATTCATAATTTATAATTTCATAATTAAAATCTTTGAAAATTAAAAAATAGATTTTTATATTATTTGATTTTATGAAGCCATTTTGTATCTTAATAAGGATATTTATTACGATGGAATCGAATTAAAGATTTTAATTTATTTTATATATATAATATTTTTAAAAATAGATATTTATTTCATTTAATATTTAATTATATATAAATTATTTTTTATATAAATATTATTGTTTAAATAATTATTTATCGATTTATTAATTATTGAAATCATTTAATTTAGGATTTTTATATTTTAAATATAGATAAATTAATATATATAATGCAATCTGGTTGATTCGATTAAATCGATATTACAAAATATTATTAATAATATAATTGTAATTGTATTATTATTGATTTTTATTTATATAAAATTACATAAATAATGAATTTTTGAATTATAAGAATTGAAAAATTAATATATTTATAATATCTATATAGATTTAAATAAATATAAACAATATATATTTAAATTATTTAATACTTAAATTATATATATATTATCACGACCTTTATTATATTTAATATAAAAAATAGAACTATTGCATTAGGCCTGAAACTCTGTTATTAGAGACCTTATATTTATCTTAATTTTTGGAAATATATTTATATATAATATTAATTAATATATTCTACATTTATTTAAAATTATTCTAAACCCATTTAAAATGATTCCTAAATCACTTTAAATTTATCTAAATCATTTTAATCTTCTTTAAATTCTTTATTAAAATTATTCGAAAACGCACTCTAGACAATTCTAGACTTTTAGAGGAGGTTAACAACAATAGTCCTCACTCGAGTATCTTCTTATATTTTAGAGTCCGCTCTAAATTTTTAGAATGGCTCTAAATTTTTAGAATGGTAATCTAAAAATTTAGAGGAATAGGGTCATACCCTAGAATTAGCTTGGGTATAGCCATTTCCCCACACCTACCCTAACACCTATCCTTGGGAGCTACCTCCTGGGAGCTAGTTGGGAGTTGGCGAAGCCGGTTGGGGCCACAGACCCTGTCCCCTCTAAAATCTTAGAATGATTTAGAGATGGTTTAGAGGGATAGAGATGAAGAGGATCTGTGGCAACAGGGTCTCTGTTGGATTCCCTGAAAATTTTTAAATTATTGGATAATCTTTAATTATTATTATAATAATGAATAAATATATAAATTAATGATAATATATATATATATATTTTGATTACTATTATATATATATATGTCATTTCATTTTATTTGCGGCTAAATTATTCTTTGGTCCGTGTTGGTTAACACACGAATGCGGAAACTTCAGGAGCTTCTTATTTCTCGAATGACGGAGCACTGCGGATATGAGAGGGCTAAAAATTGTTTCAGCTGGACGTGTCGGCCAAGAGTTGGGTCCATTTATTATTGGATCGCGGGTGTGCAAAAGGTCTGCCCCAAAATTGTATGAATTGATCCTGAGGTGCCCCAAAAAAGATAATTATCTTGCTTCATCTCTTCATGAATGCGGTTCCGGCAAGGAAATTTTTGATATCTTTTGATATCTAAATATTGCCATTCGTCAAAATATATCCTTGGTAATGGCTCGCATTAGGGATTAATCCAAGGTACAATATCAAATTGATGATACGATATTGGGTGCAGAATATATCCAGGTCAGAAGGGCGGCCAAAGACAGGTAGCAGGACCTCAACCCTGGGGAAATCAATCAAGATCTCGTTCTTGATCAACAGGTCAGGGAAGCGCTCAATCTGGCGACACACACTTGGATGCTCAATCATGAGAACATTAGTCCATTGAACCAATTATGGATCAATTATCGAACGCAAACTTTTTGATCAGGGCAACACAGCAAGATCGGTGCAAATATGGCGCCCATGTCACTTGTTTCCTGCAGTAGCCGATTCGCAACCATCCTGTGTATTCAGCGGCATCGTGTTGT